GACGGTGCGAGAGAGGAATGGGAAAAAATGTTTTGAAATTATTAAGCTCACTGATGCTGCTACTGCTGCTGCTGCTGCTGCCGTAACTATATTATTTGTTCCGGGCGAATATAATGTTCGAACAAAAAAGTATCGCGTATGATGTATGTTGTACGCCATACCCCGTCGTCTTTCAATGGCCATGTTTATTTTTTGAAATACATACATCTACTTAAGCCCTCGCCTCCCGCCCCCGCATTTGACGCAATTCAGCGGACTTTATTTATTAATTTTTTTTTCCACATTCAATTACCCACGTTTGAGAGGAGAACCTTTTGTCGGCTGCATGGCCGCCGGGCATGGGCGCGGAGACCTACGCCGTAATAATATAATAATAATAATAATAATAATAATAATAATAATAATAATATGTTCTCGGGAACTGTGGCGATGGTCGTCATGGGGAAGAGGTATTATACCGTGGTAAGGGACGACGGCGCACAACTACAAAGCGGACAGCGTACATATAATAATACAACAACCATGGTAATAAGTACGTGCGCTATTTTTAAGCGGTCCGCGCGTGTAATTTTATTCGGAAAATTCGTATTTTGCGGACGCGTTACGGTCGTGTGTGTGTGTGTGTGTGTGTGTACGTTAGTCCGTTTTGGTTTCCAGGGCACATAAACGGTCCTCGATGTTGGTTTAAAATCTCCGGTACGTTTTCTAAGCCATACGTGACCCGAATGCATCGCGTGGTGGTGCACATATTATTATAATAGTATACGCGTTGTGCGGACATTAGTAGTGCGGATTCTATCAGCTGGACGGCATTTTGGTCTTCTAAAGAGAGAGAGAGAGAGAGATAGAGTGAGAGTATGAGAAGGAGAGGGGAGGGAGAGGAAAAATAACTAAATAAAATGAAATCCACGTCTGCACCGGTGCCGCCAAAATTATGTACCCTCTCGAAACGTTGCACTCCACAGGGCTACCAGAAAATCGAGATTTTATACCAGCGGGCCTTTGACTATATATTTATAAATCGCGACCCTTGCGTTGTCGACAGCCACAGACTATATTACGTTCGTTTATTCCCAGTGGATACGACAATTTTTAAACAGCGTGGACCTACAGACATTCTCGTTTTTTGATTAAAAACAGTTTTAGTTTGGAAAAGTACAGAAAAAAAAGAAATCGATCAAGGGAAATACGACTCGGCACTGGTCCAGTGGTCTTCGGTACTCATGCTGCCACGAGTTAACGAGTTAACTTAACGAAGTCTAACGAAATCGAAGTATATTATACAAAATTATGGCTTAAGTAATGGACTAAAATCTGGATGTTGGGAGGGCATAAGACCAGAGGGCTAAGGATTAGGTTAGAAATCTATTTTATATTCTAAATCTATATTATTATGTCAGCAGGTTAACTTTTTATAAGTGCCATTAACTATAAGGTCACAATATTCAAAAAATTTCAAATTAATATTTACATAATTTGTACACAAGTTTCGTACACATTACAGTATTAATAATTGTGAAGTTATTTTTCTTTTAATATTTTCAAAAGTGTCAATCATTTTTTCAGAGATAATACTATTTGTAATATTTTTTGATATCTTTAAAATTGCCATATTTGAGAATAGAGTTTGTTACTTTGAAGTACGTATATGCAAAATGTTAACTTCTACGTATCGTTGAACCACTTGCAGATTTATAGTAGATACGATAATATATTAGTGTAGTATATTACAGGTTATAATTTGCTCACTAACGCAAACACACATTGATTAATAACAATGTTTATACAAATTAATATTTTTCCCAAATCGTATTCGGAAAGTTTAAGTCCAAATGGCTGGTAAGTCGTGAATGAAATAATAAATGAATCAAAATATATTTGTGTAAGACAGCACAATATTATCAGTACAATTAAAAGCAATAAAATCAGTGTTGCTATGATTTCGACATGAATGAGGTCTCCCCTTGATGTCCCCACCCCCAATTGACCACTGGGCTTTTGCTGCAGCCGTATACTTTACTCGAGCACTCATATTTATATGCATATTATTTATTAGGTATATATATATATATTTTTTATCTAACTTGACACATCATAATATTATATCTTTGTCAGTCGTACCGCAACCACCGACTCAGACTCGGGTATACGTTATCACCTAATCAACGGTGCGTTGTTCCATGCATATTATTATCACGTTGGCATGCGTTGCGGTCGCATGGGCCGTGACACAATGTCGTCGAGTGGCGCACACTGACACACGTGGCAAGGTGTATACATATATAGGTATTGTGTGTATAATATGCGTGCGAGTCCGTTGCACAGGGATGATGGGTCGAAGGGGGGGGGGGTTGTGTGGAAAAAAAGGTAAAACATTTTTTCTGCAATTCCACGTCGTCGACCGGATGATAAATTATAGGTACGTTGTACGGGAAGTGGTCGCGTTTCATGTTCAGGTATCGTTTTGAGGAGCGTACGTCGCGGCGCTCGCCGTAGGACATTAGCACGCGGAAAAGCTCGAGAAGGGTCGCACATAAATTTCGTTCCCCTGCGATCTTAACGACGACCCTACGGGGGTAGAAAAAACACCTCCTCTCGGAAGGAGTAGAGCAAAAAGAAAAAAAAAAGAACAAATAAAATAACGCATAAATATAACACTACACAAACGATGACGCGGGCTTTTCGGGTTTCCGAACCCAACGCCGCCGCCGCCGCCGCCGCCGCCGCCGCAAAGGTCCGTGTAATAATATTTACTTCTTTATGCGAAATCGCTGCACACGCCACGCCGGGTGTCCGCAATGGTGTCGCAAAACTGCGAACCGAGTCCGCGTGCGGCGGGTGGGCGAGAGAGGAACGGAAAATATAAAAATGAAATGCGTTATAGCGGAATATTGCGTTTTGCGGTTATACTATTATATTATTTATAGGTGTACACGTCGTCGCCGTCGCCACGGCGCGGTTAAAATCCAAAGGGCGAATAACGATATGAGGTTTATCTCGTGCCACGGCCACGACGTTAATTGGAAAAAGACTTTCGGCGCGTTCGGATATAAAATATAAACTGCGCATCAAACGGGCACCACACACACACACTGCGCACACCATCCGCACACCCGGTCTCCGCCGCCGCAGATAATCATATAACATTAATTCGGGCATCCCGATTTCGAGGTATACCAAAAGTAAGTTTTGGCAAATTTATGGCGCCAAGTTGAATCGTAACTTATATTTTATTGTGCGCCATATAACTGTATAATAATAATAATAATAATAATAATAATAATGATAATAATATATGCGCCACTCGCCATTTTCAAAAACACCGCGCCGAAACAATGGGGGCCGAAAACAAAAACTATTATTTCGAATTGTATCTATATATTAATCTCGGGGACGAACAATAACGATCTATTGAAAACGCAGTAACAATCCCTGTTGGACCTATTGTACATTAACCGTAATTATCTCGTATATGCGCGGGATATGAACTGCACAGAGCACTTTCGAGACGCGCGGCGAGTGTCGACTATATGTGCGCACGCCATATATATATATATACATACTATATGTGTATAAATGTGTGTTGTATTATGAATGGATCAATATTTAATGGATGTGATAATAATTAAAACGCATTCCGAGTACGCAGACAGTGTGTAATAATACGATGTTATAATATTGCACGCGCTTCGTCTACTGAACAAATGTATTCATAGGTAGGTAATAATTGCGATTTTAAAACTGTTCCACTGCACTTTATCATACAATATGATTATGATGATTATAGACCGGCGGTCATCGTGCGGGTTGGGACGGTTAATCCCGTCGAAGTATTTTACACGTTATACCACGCCCCCCACCCCCTCACCCGTCGTAAAAAAGTCGTCCTGTCGCCGTGCGACTCCATCACAATATTATTATAATAATAGTTTTCTCAATAATTATGCAGTAGGAAATTTCGAAAAACCCACGTGGCGTACACCATAATATAATATTATAACACACTGGATGTGTGTACTCGTACGTCACAAAAGCCTAATTTATCGGCATCCGGCATTTTCTATTTTCCGAGGTAATCGAAACGAATAAGGTTTGCTCTCGTCACGTCATCCCTCATATCATATATATTTCGTTCACAATATTGTCGCGGCAGTGTGGTGAAGGGTGATCGCCAAGAAAGCTGTATATCGGGACCGTAAAAAAAAAATAATAATAATAATAATAAAAAAGGGCAATTGTTATGTAAATTCAGTCCTTATGTGTTTGTCACCATGAGATCGGTGAAATTGTTTTCTTTCAAGACGATCGTACATGTACTTTTTCGCATGGTACACACGAACATACCTACACATGTGTTGTGCATAATATAATGACATGTATATGCACATGACGACTATTTCGGATTTTATGTCATTTTCCGCGTGACGAAATAAAGCAAAACTGAAATCACCCCATTTTATTCTGCACGGAGTGCCTACCTATACGCACACACTTTTTAAAAAGCGCAAAAATTCGAAATGGAGTTCGAACGCTTTGCCGACGAAGGTTAGACACGGGTAGAACAATGATAATAATGTGTCTTTTTTTGCCTCCGACGTGTGAACGGATGCGAAAAAGGTATGAAAAAAACCAAACAAAGATATGAAGATGTCGTGTCGTGTTCAAAGTATAATAAAGACTCACGAGTTACGAACGGCATAATATATTATTATTATAGTATGAAAAATCGATATTTTCATTAATAATAACGTAGGTATTGCGTTTGCGTATATGGATTTCATTAGTTTAATGGTCACATTTAAATACGCCACAACCCGGCAAATCAAAAAATGATTCAAATTACTGTTTACTAATATCAAACAAACTTATAATATTAGATACCCGCAGTTACCCGCTACAATACACGCATTAACGTCAAAATTGATTTCGTCTACTTTATCGTTATTTTTTATCGAACTCAATAATAGTACCTATAATATAATGTATAATTGTATTCGTACCTGTTGACTGTTCCAATTTTTTGCGTTTGTCGAATTCTTGAGGTTCGAATTTTTCGAGACAGTCGACGTCGCTATTTGCTGTTGGGTGTGATGCATAATCTGTTGAATAATGTCAAACTGCTGTTTAGTAAAACTGTCTTCGCTGTCTGCCGCATTTCTCGTTTCCGATTGGCCACTCTGTTGGCGAAAAAAAAAAAAAACACGAACAAATATGATCAATTCTTTTATTATTATTTTTTAAGGCAATCAATTGCATAAAAGCTGGGGCAGATTTTTATTTAGATAAACAGTAAATAAGCTTACAATGTAATTTTCTCGTCGTCTATACGACGTTGGTATAATACTAGAATAACATATTGTGTGCTCATCGTAAACTAACAATAGTGGTTTATTGGTTTTAGTTATATTGCATTTGAAACATATATATATATATTTTCATTTTTCTTATACACATATATATTTTCATTTTTATCATAAGTCAACAAGTATTTATTTTTTACATCGACAAAAATCGTCTGATCTGAATAAAATATATTAATTCATCGGTAGTCTCATTCAACAATAATACAATATTGTTATACGAAAAGCACATCATTATTCTTGGACGTTTTTTATTTTTATTTTTCAGATTTCAGATAATGAACGACAAAAATATAAGACAGAATACAAATAATAAAAAACGCCTACGATATTTTAATAAGAATACCTTTAGCTGTATTTTACCTAACTTTATGTACCGGAAGTCGTAATAAATTATACGAGAGTCGTTATATATTTGCGAGTATTACGACGATTAGAGAATTTATAACAATATACAATATTATTATTATGTCGCGTTAAGTGCATATCGTAATAATTTGTTTTATATACCATGACGTGTGTGTATAATGTATATATCATGAATAATTTTCAACTCGAGGGAAATTCTCGCACATCGCTATCTATAGGCAATATTAATACTATATTATTATGGCATATTATTATTATTGTCATCATACATTATGCAGTCATCGACAACCCTGAGCATTTTGCTACCGTCAATACCTACTTAAAACTCTATATACTCGAATGGGAATTTTTACTTTTGCGAAACAGTTGAATTGTTCTGTTACATATATATATATATATATATATGGTTACCGTTGTTCCCCTCATCTCCTCGCCGTATATACATAATAATGTATCCGTATATGTATAATATAATATGTGGTACTCATCTTTTGACTTACAAGTGTGTACAGTCATGTGGCGCTTGACTTGACGCACGTACTTCAGAACCCCTAACCGGCCGACCGTCGGACCGACCGACCCGCCCCGACACGGGTTTCCTCCGGGTCGAGAGTCTTGAAAAGCCGTCGTTTGACCGAGATCGAGTGACAAAACGCAACCGGGCGTGCAGCCGCGCGAGAGTGAGAGCGCGAGGGAGTGAGACGGGGGGGGAGGGGTGGTGGTGAAAGAGAGAGAGTTTGAGAGGGCGAGAGAGTGAGCTTGCGCCGGGGGGTGCGAGAGGGCGGGTGGCAGCGGGACCGCCGCGACGTCGAACTTCGGTTTCATTTCGTGACACTCGGCTCGGAAGTAATTTGAACTTATTACCTCCGAACGCCACGTTATTTCTCCATTGTCTGAGCGCCGGATGAGCACGGGGACGAGGGGACGACGAAGACGACGACGACAACGACGACGACGATGACGATGACGACGACGAGACCCGTGCAGCACGCAACCGTGGTCTTCTCTCGCCCCCCCCCCCCCGCGCATAACCCTTGTGCCCAACACGAGGGACTGTAGATTGAACTTTTCGATATAAATCACAGGAAAACTTGATACCGCGCGACGGGGCATATACACGTATACCACCGTACACACACACACACGCGCGCGCGGTTATTAACGTATCGGTGATCCGTAAGCGCACAAGTGACTATATAACCATATACCGGGTCGACGAGCGAGGAGTGTTTGCTACTTTTTCTATTCTTCTCGGGTTCAATATGAGTAAACGTTTTGAAATACGGTGGGATACCTTAGTAAAAATATCACGTTTATCTTTAAACTAGTTTCATTTCGGGGCTATACAAAAAAAGAAAACACCATCACACACAATCTTAATAACGCTCAAATAACATACATGTGATAACTCAACGCTGGTTTGATGAGAATAATAGTGAATTAATCATTTTTTTTTTTTTTTCTAGGATTGATTTAAATAATAGTATAATAATATGTATATGAACATTCAGAAAAAATATTGTGAACTATTTTTGTTGTGAGGATTATTTTTATACTCAACGTTTACATCCAAACAATACGCATACTATAATCACGTTATTCTGTATACACTGAATTATTTTTATTATAGCTTTTTTCGCGGTGTTACATAGCAAACAGACATTGTTTTGTTTAAAAATTAGTCTCATCTAAAATGCTTTATAATACCTGAGCATGCAGAGGTATGAAGTGAGAGTTAAGTTATGCACGAGTGCATTATAGATGCAGCTTTAGTGTTAACAAAAACAATATAAGTATAATTTCATTACAACCCTCACACTCAGAACTTAGAATAATGATATATGACATACAAGTGTAAAACTAGTTGCTATATGTGCACGTGCAAACACTATGGACAGCATTTTGTGGAAGTTGGAACTATTTAAAAATCATTATTTTTATTAGAAAGAAACATTTTATTTAAGGTTTTTATTTGAGAACCAGTTATACATCTTATCATATTTTTTTATCGACTCTATAAATTATAATAATATTCATATTTTGTTGTTCAGACAGATTGTATATGAACTAATTTTAATAAATCAAAAATGACACACAACCATTTGACTGTTGACTTGAAGTTATTCAATTCAATTTTATATATTACTCGTATTGTCATATAGTATCTTGCAACAGTAATATTTTCGTATTGCATTGTGCGTACGAATATGCGCAAAGCGAAATGAGGCACAAACGGTGGAACATGTATCGAGCTGTATGGAAAAGTTTTTCTTCAGATTTTCACATCGGTCGGCGTACAGCGTAAATTCATCTTAGTGGATTTTTTTCCATGCGCTTTCATCTATCTCGTCTCGTTTGTTTCCACAGCGTTAAGACGATATTCTTTTCATTAGAAAACATCGGCTTGTAGACGGCTTAAGACGGTAAAATAGAGAGAGAGAGAGAGATAGATGGACGAATGCACAAGAATATAGAGAAATGGAGAGATGAAAAAGAAAGGGAGAGAGAGAAAGAGAGAGAGAGAGAGAGAGAGAGCGGTGGAACGGAAAGCGTAATTTAATATTCTGACGCTAACGTCTTTCGATATTGTTACGTTTTCTCTTCGGCTCCTCCTGGAAATGACATTATCTAATTTCGCAGGCGGCGCGTCCTACCGCGTGGGCGACGTGAGTATATGTACACTCCATACCGTTTTCCAGGACAATAATCCGCTCATGGCTCCCGTGATGATGCAGGCGCTTACGGCGAAGAGACGTATAACTCCGGCAGATGCACGACCGATTACGAACCCGTGTAATAGCCGTCCGTGAGTCTGCGAACTCCATAATATCACGCACCTACATTATAATAATATGAAACCATATACGCCGGCCATCGCCGGTCGTTATTTTTGCACACCTCCACTTTTAATATATTTTCATTTTTTTCGTTATTTTCCGACCCGCCGTACTCGATACGATATTGGTGAATGCACGTGTAGACTCTGTACAGAGAGACAGTGCGAGAGAGAGAGAGAGAGTGGGAGAGATGGAAGAAGGAAGAAATAATCCAAGGACTAAGACAAACCAAACGACGGCAAAAATTACCATTGAATATCTTTTTGGAAAACATCGTCTCCTCTGCGCAAAGTTGTTATTCGCATCATTACTCGGCGGCACGTGTCGGTCTCGAGTCGATTATATGCGCCACGCGCCGTTTACGAGGCAATTATTGCATGTGTCAAATGGATTTTTACATCTAATTGTTCATCCCAGCAACGTGCTTCAAACCACGTCAAAGGTGGCGTTATACCTCGAGAATCTTTGGCGACGAAACTTTTCAGGTGTCCTCCGACACTCTTCCATGAAATTGATTAAATATTTCTGTACTCAAATTATATTGATTTCAATACCAAAGCGTGTTGACATTTTTTTAAGTTTTCAAAGACGCTCGGGTTTTAGTCATAATACATATTCAATTAAACAACGACAGTCTGATCCCTCGCAATATAGACGTAATATTATTAGATCAGGTTTATCTGACGGAAGTTTGACAGGTAAATACAGTTTAATTACTTTTTGATTTGTTTGATAAATTTGTCGCAAACGGCGTTTCACTTAAATTATTCGAAACTCGGAACGTACCCCGCCCTATGTAAATTATAAATAAAACACAATTATATTACTGTCTGTTCTTTTAAAATTAAGACTTAAAAGGTAATAAAAAAATAAAAACACGAAAAACGAATTGCTTCTCGACAACCACGAAGAATTGCGTTGTAACCAAGTATAACGTGTTCACGATTAAATGGCATTACAGCTGAAACCAGGCTTTGTTTAATAGTGAAATAAAAGTTCAGTTTTGAAATATTCTATTTGGAAAGGTTATAGCGGGCGAGGAAATGCTTTTAAGTTTTGTTGAGTTAAAACCAGTAGATTTCGCTGTTGAATATTGTATGGAATGAAAAGTGTTTTATAAATGAAGTACTATTGGTTGTTTTTCCGTTTCCAAAAAAAAGGATTTAGCAAGTAAATGACAACATTTACACCCTTTTATGTTCCTCGTTTCTAGTAGGTATATGTATGTATAGAATCAAATCTCTAGTAAACCCTTTTAATCCATGATAAAATGAAAATGTAATTATCATTTACAGGAAATTCGTGTATACGGATAAAACGTTGAATCGTCCAATGGTGAACAATATAATATTATATCTGCATATTATTATTTAGAGTTTAAATACAATTTATGAGGTAGAGTTTAATTATTGATTACTTGGTATAAGTCGTAATTAGATTGTAATTAGCTTTTAAATTTATTGTAATTATTAATTAAAACCATATTATTGAACGTTTCGGATTAGGCTCATTTCATTAAAAGTATGATAGAGCACCAGGGGTTAGTTGTTTGACGGTTTTTCAATAACAATTTTAGTTAAAAAGAATAATTAATATTTTTATTCGACGTAC